TCAAAAGTGGTTCTTCAAGATTGTTTTTTATTGTGTTCACAGGTTTTGAAGACCCTACATGTGTTGTACATCCTTCTTTGGAATGATGCTCTTTCCTAGAGGACCTGTGTATAATTGGACTATCTATACCTTCTTCATAAAATTATAGTGTTTCTAAATGGAGTTACAAAAGGTAACCAGTTCCAGTAATAACAGAAATCTAATTCTATTTGTTCATTCCACCTCACTCTCCCTGAAGCAGAAGGGAGGGTAATGGATCTTAGAAATAAAAGTTAAAAGGAGGAGACAACTCTGAGGAGACCCCCTGGGGGGGGCGGTCATTTGGAGTTTGGAGGGAAAAGGGTCACCTTGAGCAGGTGCAGGCCAGGGCCCATGGAGGAAGAATGAGACAGTAAAGCACCGCAGTTACATTCCTTTCTGTTTCCTGTATCTACTATTTTTAAAGTCAGTCTTTGCAGGATTTTGTCTCTTACCTGCCTATTTATTAAAGAATCAATATTTTAACATTCCAGTCTCAGTTAATCATTTCTTTGTTTTATTCACCTCGTCTGTGATTGCTGTCTTTGTTATTCCTCTTCCCTCTTGTTTCTTTGTTTCCTACTCTGAAATTCCTTTTCTGGTTTATCAAACTGAATGCTTTATTTGTATGAATCCTTTTTCCTTTGATAAGTGAATTTAGAGTCATAAATCATCCTGTGAGTTAGACTTTAGTGGTTTTCTGCAGACTCTGATAGTTATTTTCAGTTCAAGAATTTAAAATTTCCCTTTTGATCTTTTTATATAGTGGGTTATTTAATGTGGTGAACATGATGTTAAACTTGGACTTTCCCTACCTCCAAGCTGACTAGGGCTTTAAAGCTAAAAGCAGCAGATGCTGGTTCTACCTAAAATGTTACCATAATTCTTCAGGCCTTTTTTTCCCACACTTATTTTTCATATTCCTGCTGGGAATATTAAGCAAAGTTGAAACTTCACATACACCCTGCAGCACAGGACCCATGCAGCAGGGGATTCCCTGAATTTTTTAAATCATAAAATAGTAGAAATCACTATCAAAATGGAGAAATAAGTTATGGAGTATTAATGATGCAATATTCTATACCAATTAGAGTTAATTAAAAACTACATATATCGGGGCGCCTGGGTAGCTGAGTGGGTTAAAGCCTCTGCCTTTGGCTCAGGCAATGATCCCAGGGTCCTGGGATCAAGCCCCGCATCGGGCTCTCTGCTCAGCGGGGAGCCTGCTTCCTCCTCTCTCTCTGACTACTTGAGATCTCTGTCTGTCAAATAAATAAATAAAATCTTAAAACAAAACAAAACAAAACTACATATATCAATATGAATACATTTTAAAAATACGACCATTGAATGAAATGGCAAGTCTGAAAAGTGTATACATTATTCAATACAGGTAATGAAAAATAGAGAATACAAACAAAAAGTCCATAAAACGATATATATTTGTATGTTACTGTATGTTGTTTATGGATGGAAAGAAAGACCTAATGAGAATAATAACATAGAACAACATAATATATCAGGGTGCTGGGCACATGAATGCCTTTTGTTAAATTTTTTAGTTTTCATTTAGAGTCCACTTAGTTACCATACAAGTAAAATTAACTTCAGATGTATGACATAGGGATGCAACACATCCATAAACACCAGGTGCCCATCACAAGTGCCCTCCGTCATCCCCAACACCTGTCTCACCCACCCTTCCACCCACCTCCCTTCTAGTAGCCATCGGTTTGTTCTCTATAGTTAGGAAGTCTGTTTCTTGGTGTTTGCCTCTTTTAAAAATTTTTTTAAACTTAAGTTCAATTTAACTAACATATAGGGTATTATTAGTTTCAGAAGTAGAATTCAGTGATTCATTGGTAGCAAATAATACCCAGTGCTCATTATATCACATGTCCTCCTTAATGCCCATCACCCAGTTACCCCATCCCCCACCCACCTCCCCTCCAGCAACCCTCAGTTTGTTCCCTACAGTTAAGAGTCTCTTATGGTTTGTCTCCCTCTGTTTTCCTCTTATTTTATTTTTCCTTTCCTTCCCTTCCCCTATGTGGATCTGTTTTGTTTCTTAAATTCCACATATGAGTGAAATCATATGGTGTTTGTCTTCCTCTGACTCATTCTGCTTAGTATAATATCCTCTAGTTCCATTCACATCGTTGCAAAGGGAAGGATTTCCTTCTTTTTGATGGTTGAGTACTATTCCTTTGTATATGTATATATACACCACATCTTCTTTATCCATTCATCTGTCAATAGACTTCTGGGCTCTTTCCATATTTTGGTCATTGTGGACACTGCTGCTGTACATACTGGGGTGCATGTGCTCCTCTGAATCACTATGTTTGTATCCTTTGGATAAATACTGAGTAGGGCAATGGCTGGGTCATAGGATATCTCTGCTTTTTAACTTTTTCAGGAAACTCTATACTACTTGCCTCTTCCCCTACCCCCTTGCTCATATGTGTAATTTAAGAAACAAAACAAATGACCTTCCAAATAATTTTTCTACTTATTTTGATTGGGGCAAATTTAATATATACTTAGTAATTTTTAAAAATAAATGTCTATCTTTTAAAAAATTTCAATCTCTTTTTAAAGATTCCTCAGACACTTTACAAATGCTAAAAGAAATAGAAGCCAATATAAACCTTCCTTGGGCCACAGGGCTGTGGGCATCCTGCCTCTGCACCAGCCCTTCAGGAAGATTGTGCATATGGTCAGAAAAAGCATGAAGTCAAAAGTCAAGCCAACCTGACTCAAATCACAGTTTCCACTCTTATGGTCTTGTGTCATCCACGATGAATATTTTAAGCTCAGTAAGTTTAAAAATTAAACTGAGTAAGCCTCAGTTTGCTCATCTGTTAAGCAATGGCAAGATTTAAAAGTCATTAGAAGAATTAAAGACGAGTCAGCTCTGGCACAAACCAAGTAGGAGATATTCTATCAATACGAATTATTACTAACATGGTATGTAATATCTGTGTGTTACATGATTGAATTATTCCATAACTGCAATGATACCTCTTTGCATCAGAGGTGATCTCTGAAGGAAATAAAGAGATGTTCTTTCGAAGGAATCAATGGATACAGCAATAATAATAAAAAAAATGAAAGAATTAATGGACAAATTGGGGTAAGGTAAATCAGTGGTAAAGAATTAATGGACAAATTGGGGTAAGGTAAATCAGTGGTAAAGCCACTGATTTAAAACAACTGTTTTATTATGCTCCTGTATTCCATGAGTCAGGGACTCAGGCAGACCCTGGGGGAATGACTTGTCTCTATTACACGATGTGCAGGGATTCAGCTAGACAGACTCAAAGGCTAGGGATGAGCGTTTGAGTGTTACTTGGCAGGAATAAAATTTTAAAAGTTATTCGCTCTAGTGCACGTAAGAGCTAAGGTGGTATAAATGAGCAAGACAACTGATGGCTGCAAGTAAAGATCAATAAAAAATTAAGAGAAATCTCTGAAAGGATAATATAACCCGAATGAAAAACAAGAGTTGATTTTTACAGAGAGTTTCAAGAACCTGGCTATTACAGAAAGTAGTATGTTTATTTGTGATTTGGAAAGAATATTTACTACCTTGGAAACAGTCACTTCATATATCATGATATACACTTTAATATACTCCATGTAGAAAACCAGGGAACAGGAAACCAGAGTGAGATCACTCTCTTTGGAAATAGCTTGTGTGTAAGAACAACTATAATACTCATCTGGTTTGTCTAGGCATAATTTCTATGTCTGTGTCTAAACTCTAATTATCAAATAAATCTGCCCGCAGCTAGATGGTCACATTTTTAGCCATCAGTGGGGTGGCTGACTCATCGTGGTTCACAAGCATCAATTCTATATAAAAAAAGAAATGGAAAAATACCCTGAGTTGTAAGCAATCAAAATGTGATCAAGATCTAACTTCGTTTGATTAAAAAGGAAAATCGACAGTAATTAACTTTTTCCTTTCTATTCTTCACACAACAAAATAAGAGATAGTACAGAGAAACAATTAAACGAAATCGCCTTTTGCCCCTGGCAAACCTTCCCACCAATGAACCTTCCCACCAATGAAATATTTAGCTCCAGATTTCTCACTTTCCCCCCCTCATCATTCCAAAATTGCTGTGGTCTTTCTTTAGAAGCAAGGACTCTTTGGTTAACCCTAGATTTCTAAGACTCTTAATCTTTTATTTTATAAAAATTGTAAGACTATACAGTAACAAGGCCATCATCTCTATTCAATTAGGACCTTGGATAGGATTGGAAATGAGCCTGTATCATGAATTGCAACAAACTTGCACAACCTCTGAGATGGGCTGAAAGAGTGTATCCATGACCAATGACCTCACCTAGAATATGCCCTTGTAGGGAAATATCACAGGGAGAAAAGAGTCCCCAGACATAAATGTTTTAACACTGTCACAAAAACCCCAACATTCACCCTCCTTTCTGACTACGGTCAGACCTCAGAAGAAAACACACCCACCCTATTCCCATCTAGAAACAAACGTTGCATCATTTACCCAGAGACCCTGGGTCACAGAAGCGGCTCCATTTCGGCGAACAAAACCATCTGACTGTACTACTACTGGAGACCCGTGAAACAGAATTATAACAGCAAGCGGAAATGTTTCCACAAATGAAAAAACCCCGTCCCTTCCAAAGTCTTCATGATCTCTCTCATGTGTGTCTTTGCCATGTGGCAAACACAGGGACAGCTAGGAAACCCCGGGTTCCAGTAAAGCAAACACTGGTGAGGTTCAAAGTATTTCTAGATACCCAAAATGCAAAGTGAAGCTCCACCAGGAGCTCGGGGCTGGGAAAAGTGAGCCAAGGGAATAAGATGGGGAAGCACAGGAGACAGCAGGAGCACCACTGAATACAGACCCCCGCCCCCCTGTGAGGTACCGGGCAGTCCTCTCCCAGGGATCGCAGGGGCCAGGGGTGCACAGGGAAGGGACAGAGAGCGCTCTTACTGTAGCACACGGGAGTGGCTGAAGTCTCTCAAATCTGAGTTGTCATACTCCGGGGTTCCAGTTCCCAGCCCGCTGTCGCTCAGCATGCGCTTCCGTAGGGCGGGGTTCCACCAGTCGGACATTCTGGGAGAAAGCAGGGCACCAGGCATGTAGACGTTCAAAGCCAGCACGGGACTTCCTCTGCTCTGTCTCAAGATGATTCTTGTGAGATGGGCAACTAATCTTTACTGGGTATGTCCTAGTTACATCTTCACACTTACTCTTTAATTTTCTCAAGTATCATGAACTGTTTGTGTGCTTCTGCCCTCTACAGATGAGAAAACTGCCTTTCAAGATGAAGTAATTTTAGGGGCACCTGGGGGAGCTCAGTCCCTTACGCATCTGCCTTGGGCTCAGGTCATGATCTCAGGGTCCTAGGATTAAGCCTGGCATTGGGCTCCCGGCTCATCGGGAATTGGCTTCTCGAATCATTCTCTGTATGTGCATGCTCTCTCTCAAATAAGTAAATAAAATCTTTAAAAAAAGATTAATTAACTTCAAATGTGATGTAAATAAGAAGTAATGGAACCTGATATAGAAATGGAAATGAGGAAATAATAAAGCCCATCCATTTTCACTGCTTTCCTGTCCTTGTTCATTTCCAGGAAGGGCAACTGATCAGAAATAAGAAAGGGACTGATTGAAGTTCCAATGGATTTTCAAGCTACTTTGGGCTACTTCATTTTTGGAGCTAGGGCTAAGAGAGGATTAACCCAGGACAAAGCCATTTCTTTTGGCCTTTAGTTGATACAGAGAGAGGGCAAAGAGGAGCGCAAGTGTGGCAGAGCAGGTTTCCTCTTTACCAGATCAAAGACAGCAGCCCAATTCAGGCTGGGCAAGGGGACAGCGAGACTCTAATGCCCGCTGCTCCTACAGGAGGACCCAGCATCTCACGTGCTTTCCCCACAGCGGAGAGGCTGGATTTGCAGACATGGACTGTGAAGACAGGCTTTTCCAACACCTTATGGGACACCCAGGGATACATATCTGAGATTACTAGCTCTGGCTTCCTCAACGCAGCCATATACCTGCCCCATCCTGCCATTTCTGTCTTCTCTTGACTTGATACATATCATTGAAATCAGCTGGCAGAGTGAGAAATATTCAGAGATGGCAGCAATGGCCAAATAAATTAGTGCCGAGGAGTAAACAGGCATAAGGTTACCTCAAGTGAACACGTCTACATACACATATAGACAAATATATACGTGTGTGTGTGTCTGTGTATACAATTCGCAAATGCTATTTGAGTGCATGTGTGTGTGCACTTTCCAGGGAAATCCTTATTCTAACTATTTGACGTTCATATACCAGTCAGACATCAAAGTTCATCAGACTTTACAAGGGCAGAAATTTTCATTTTTTAAAATTTCTGCCCTGTTGTTTCCCAAGTGCTTAGACTAGTAGCTGGTGCCTAAAAAGTTCTCTAAATAAATATTTTGGAATTGCTGAAATAACCTAGAAAGCCTAATAATATTCTGGTGGTTCAATGTAGTGATTAAATGCATGGGTTTTAGCATAACACCTGGGTGGGACCAGATGTCAATTCTGCCGTTCATTTTCTGTGCAATATGGGCAGAGCTGAGGACCCTGCTGAGCCTCAGGGCTGGTACATGTGGATTTAGGGTAATAAATACCGGTACCAGAGGTGCAGGGGCACTGCGACAGGAAAGTGATGACGACGATCACTGTAATAACATCATACTGAGTGAGCGTCTACCAAGTGCAAAGAACAATCCTAATAACTCACATGTATCAATTTATTTAATTTTCAAACAATTCTCTGTGTCGGCTTCATTTCCATTCTACAGAGCTTCGGAAATAAGCCCAGAGCACTTCTGATGATTCGGTCGCTATGAAGGGGTGGTAGGGATATAAGAAAGGCATTTGGGATCGTATGTGGCTCATAATAAGTGCTTGATAGTCATAGTTATTATGATACCATCTATGTCTCACGCTGCCTGGACATAGCAAAAAAGGAGGAGGAAGTGGGGGAGGGGAAAAGGAAAGTCAAAAATGACTTGTGCTCATTTTCCTTTGGATAACACAAGCATTGTAGCTACATATGCACAAATGCAAACACTAGTACTTTATAGTCTGGTAAGAAATGTGGCTGTGGTGGATAAAGAAGGCTCAGACATGGTACAAATCTTGGTGGGAAAGAGTAATTCTCTGCAGCCATTCAAAAGACAAACATAGAATGGGACCAGTTATCCTACACGCTAATGAAACACAGCAAGAAAACCTGTATTTTAAGATAGCTTGATGTCCCTGGAAATGTCAAAGGAAAAGCCACATCAGACACAGATGTCGCCCTGTGGTCAGCCTCCCTACCGTGTCACCAAAGAAGGGCTCGCTCACCCCGAGGCCTGCTCCACGACCAGGTCGGGCATTCCTGGAGGTGTCCCCGCCTGCTGTGACAACACCATATCTGGGTCCAGAATAAAAATCTCGTCTTGGGAAATCTCCATCACAAAGTGCAAATGTTCCTAAGGAAGAAAAAGAAGTCTGTCAGAGGACTGATAGGATTCTCAAGTCTATCATCTGATCAGGGACTAAACAAAGCATCCTTGGTCCTGAGGGGTAATGAAAGTCTACGACATATCAAATGACCACGGTGTGTTTTCAGAGGCCCAACCAGTGGCCATCCATCCCTGAAGTGACCTGGCAGCAAGAGGCTGGTGAGGGAAAGAGGTGAATCCCTCTTGGTTTGGGATTCCTGCTTGACCGGGATCTCATCGGATATAACCAGAGACGGGCTTGCCTCTTCTTCCCAAATACTGTCAAAGAAGGAACTCCCCACCCGCGGCTTGGTCCAGCATGACTTGAGCGATTAAGCTGGACTTGGACCCCCGGGATCCAGCCAGAGCTAAGTGCCATGATTAACAACTGGTTTTATCACTGGGTTCCATACTGTATTATTATTTCTTCTCCTTTCTCTTTTTTTGCAGGAGAATTTGGACAGCAGGAACACTTATTATCATTGGGCAGAAGCATTTTTTTTTCTCATTATGGAACTCCGGGAAGTGATGAGTTGTAAGTAGCATAAATATGCACCTGGGCTGTCAAACTTGCTAACCAAAATAAACCTAAAAAGCCATAAAACAGAGCTAGGAAGTAGTAAAAGTGGCAGTGTGCAAGAAAATTTAGAGTGCAGGCTGGTGATAACATCTATAGGCCTAGTTATTTTCTGGGCCTCAATTCCAAGGTCAAATCTTGAGTCCACAAATCACAAGATGTGTGAAGACAAATAAAAACCCTCATAACTTAGGCTATGAGTACCATTCTGGAACTGGTACATGTTTAAGGGTTTACACTAGAAAAATGTACAAGATTAGCTATGAATAAAGTCTACTGATTTGGCAATTTTTCACTTTTACAAATAGGCTCAAGAAGGCTTACCTGAGATCTGTCTATTCGGTAAAAGCGATCAGCAGAAGTTGCTAGGAAAAAAAAAAGTATATGGCATTCAGAGTCCTGTGATCTGGCGCCCAATTTGCAACTTTCTCTCCTATTACGCCATTCAAAATCTTTACATTCAGTCCTGCTGGCCTACTGGCCAGTTTCTAAATTTAGAAAAACCCAGAACTTGCATGTCCCCTACAGCTATGACCAAGCTTAGAAAGCCCTTCCCTATTACATCTCCTGAACCAAATCTCACCCGTCTCTTAAGGACCAACTTAAATGCTTCCTCCTCTGGGAAACATTTTTCCATCCCATCCTTCCCTACTCCAGACAGAATTCATTGCTCCTACCTTTGCATATTCGCATTTTGTCTATACTTCTTGTAGACACTATCTTCATAAATAACCAGGGGACAGTTTAAAGATCTGTGTTTCTTTTATTCTTTTATGTTTCCAGACATTAGCATAGGACCTTAAACAGAGTCGGGACTCAATATGTATTTATTAAGTAAATAAAGTTGGGGGTGGGGAGTAACCGTAGGTAGCTAGACTTCCCAAGGAAGCGATTCTCATTTTGAAAAACAAACAAACAAACAAAAAAAACTTGAAGATACAGAGCCAAGGACCACATCTGGTATTGAAAGATTCATTTCACTTCAAGACTGAATCCCTAAGCCATGTCTAAAGAAAGCCAAAACTGTAAAAATAATTATTTAAGCATTCCTAAAAGGGACTGGGCTGCATCTGTGGTTAGGGGAAGAAAATTGCAAACTTTGGGTTTGTAGACACTGTTTGATTATTCTTAATACTCGAAAGAATTATGTTCCTCCTCACTTAAATCTACCTAACAGACTCCAAATATTATAAATAGATTTTCTACAAAGTACATAGTCCTAAAGGGAGTAACTCAAAATGCAAACAATCATTCAAAAATCATAAATATTTAATGAGTAGCTTCTCTCCAAAGGAAATGAGCTGAGAAGGCAATCACAGTCCCTCCTCACTAAAAGCAACAGGGGAATAAAGTCTGTCTCAGAAGGACCTATTCTACTTTGGTTCTTTTTAACCATAAATGTGATCACCTTTTGAAGGTTTTTATATCTATAGAATATAATAATATCACACTTATAATTTCATCTAAGAATGTATATAGAACAGACTATATATAGAACAATTCATATAAATTTCTAAAACTTTTTCAAATATAAGTTGTTTCCCTGGGAATTCAGGAAAAAAAAACCACATGATTGTGTTTCTCATCGCGAGGGAATAAAGGAGCTGGAGGAAAGTAGTGTAAATTATCTTCAGAGGTAGGCAAGGAGCTATTAATGAAAATCTAGGTCATGATTCACGTGGGTTAGATCTGATATAAATACAATTGTTCACCTTCATAGTACTGTTCCCACATTCACACATCCTGTTGCCCTCTTGCCCACATTTATGTCCTCTCAGATGTATCCCAGATCAGCCAAAGAAATGGTTACAGTGAAAACCACATGTCCACATACTAGGTAGTCAATACACTGGGCAGTAGATAAGGAGATGTTTTGCAATATGGTAGAAAAACTGGATTAGGCAGCATCTAGGGAGTGAGAGGTGCTCGCAGTGGAAAATGAACCCATAAACCAATCAGAAAATAACTGAAATCACTATCACACAGACCTACATGAGGAGTTTCTACATAATCCCTTGGAAAACCAGGGTCCACTCCGTTCCGTCTATTGGTGCCTTGCCCTGCTGTTTCCGCAATCCCCACCGCTCCACGAAATAGAGAAACACTCACCGTCTAGAAAGCACCACCGTGGTGAGAGTCTCTGAGCTGAGAGTGCCCTGGGGAAGGAGGTCTCGTGGTCCTGGAAAGAGACACATTACATCCTCCTGACTCCATTTGAATGACCGGAGGGATTTAACCTCAGTGTACTATATTGACTACTTCTGTGAGCAAGCATCCCTTCCTAAACTGAGCACCGGTGAGAGGCCAAAACATATTTCTATTAGAAAGAGAGGCTGTGCTTCAAATTACTTCACATAGAAACTTCTAAAACAATTCCTATGCAGAATTTCCAGGAAGTTTTCAACTCTTCTATTAAGTATGCATAGATGATATAAATGGGGACATTTACCTGGTTTGGGAATTTCTTTGCTTTTGTGAAGCTGAGGAACTAGGGGCAACTGGCTGTCATTTACACTTTGGTTCCCCACGTAGGTATAAGGAAGGCACTACACAAAATGGGGAGGAGTTGAGGCTCATCTACTGGCTGACATGGACTCGTAGCGTCTAAGAAACACAAGAGGCCATCCATCTACATGGTCAAGTCCCCTTAACTAGCGGATCATCTGTTATATAAGCAATTTGTCTCCATGAAAGCAAAGTAAATCAGCATCATATGTTGAGGCCACCATTACCCCAACCTTATCCATTGAACCTGACTCCAGAGCAGCGTACAAGGAGGAAGAATGTTCTGCCAGGCTGGCTGATGACAAAATCCTCTGGCCAACACGGACTTAACCAGCGATACCCTCATCTGCCTTAGCATTCTCTAGCTTTCTAGCGTCTAGGATGCCGCATCCTCCCTCCCTCTCATGTGTGATCTCAAGGCCATCTGCCAGCCTCCATCTTCTCTCCTTCAGCCTTAGATAAAAAAAACAGCCTTTCCTGTTTAAAGCTGACCACTTCATCTAGTCTCCGGACTACCCTCTTCTTTTCTTTTCTTTTCTTTTTTCTTTTTCCTTCCTTCCTTCCTTCCTTCCTTTCCTTCTTGCTTTTATGTCTTTTTATATCTATATTTTTACATCTTTATTTCTGCATTCTTACTGAAATCTTCTCCCCTACCCAGAAATTCATTGTTTCTGCTTTCAATGGCTCCCTTTCTCTAAAACGAATTTCCCTCAGTTGATCCTGTTACATCTTCTGAAAATTAATTTCTCCTTCCTTGCCCTGACAAACTCTCGAAGCATGCCTTTAGTATCTCCTCCCTCCAACCACCCCTTAGCCATTTTGGCCCGGCCTCTAGAAGGCTGGCTTCTGATGTTTCATTCTTCAAAAGCTGCCCTTTGGAAGGACTAGCACCCTTTCTGACTGAATACCACTCCCAGTTCCCAACATTTCCAGAAGTCTCTGAACCTTTAATTTCTTAGTGGAATTAAGGCCACATCACAGAAGAACAGACTAGGGAACTGGCAGATTGAAAGCAGAAGTTATTATCTGTTTATAATTCCAAACTTTCAAAAGCTAAAAATCTCCCCTAAGAGAAACTCTGTCCATGATAATTAAAAAAATAAACAAACAAAAAGCACATTCTTGTTTACAACTCAAGACTTGGAGCATTCTAGCCCTGGCTTATAATGAAATGGAAATCGTTGACAGAAATAGGACAAATGAGGAGGGACGCTAGGTCTCTGTGGGGAAGGCAGTGGGAGTGTGACCCATATTAGGGATTTGAGATGTTCTAATAACGGGAGCATCGCTGGAGTGCAGCTCGGTATGTACGGGAGGCAGACGGGGGAAGGAAACAGGAATAACATGGGACAAACAATAAGAGAACTAATCAGCGGTTGCATGGACTTCTTTGGTGTTTTGTCCAGACTCCCCGAAGCCTCACTTGCTCCTCCGGCAAACCTATGCTTAGATCAGTGGTACTCCAAGTGTGAACCGTGGGACAGCAGCATCAGTTGGGTACTTGTTAGAAATACAAATTCCCAGGTGCCACCCAAGTTTATAGAAACCCTGGAATGGAACCCAGTAATCTTTCAGGTGAAGGTGATGTATGCCAGAAGTTTAAAAGCATGGACTTAACAAAAGGGATCCATTTTATTATTAGAAACCTTGACTATGTGGAATTTTTAATATGAATGGATTCTGCAAATTAAATAATTGAGAGAGAAAAACCTGGTCTCAGGTCTGGCACCAAAATTTTATATTTACATGCATAGAATTGATAGAGCCATGGATAGACAGATAAACATACACCTCTATGGATGTATATGTAGCTGTGGACACTGATGTTTCTCTCTTTCCTAAACCAGTTTTGCCACTCTGCTGGTTGCACTACATAAAATCATGACATGTGCTCAGTACCTATTTGTATCAAAATCACGTTTAACATTTCGAGAAGTACATTTTGACATGTGATAAATTGTTTTTAGGAAACTTAAGGTTCTTACTGTATTTTTTATAAAACATGTAAAGTCACCAACATGTCAGTTTCGTGTCAAATGTAGTAAGTCAAGAAATTCAGATGCGATTTAAAATATTTCGTGCCAACTATAAAAGCTACTAAATAAAAATAGTAAACAGAAACGTGGCTGCCTTCTCTAGAAATAAAGATGGTGTAGACACCAAGGGCAGTTTCTGAAATTTGATGTCAAATGTGCTACAGAGAGCCCCACACAAAAAAATCAAATTTTCCCAGGTAAAAATCGACTCTGAAAGCCCGCAGAAATGCTTAATTTATCATTTTAAAAACAGAAAAATGAATAATGTTATTTCTGGAGTATTCAAATTAGAGAATATTGGATATTATTTCATCTCATTTAATAAAATGCAGATTGAAAAAAAATAAAACAGAGATTGATACACTCCCTCAGCCACGTGACTAGTTTACCACAGGCAGACAAAATAATAGTGGCCTAACTGTATACATTTTAATGCATGAGTGTCCGTGTGTCACAAGAGTTTTATGCATGTGCCTATTTACCTTGTGTATTTTCTATTCATTTGTTTTCTCTACACCTTAATTCACAGGCATTTGCTATAACTCAACTTCCTTAAAGAGGTTTTATTTAAAGAGAATGTTACCAGTTGGCTCTGTGAAAACGCATTGTGGCTGCCAAAGAATAGAGACCTTTGAAACACTTCAAACAGGTTTAAGTGGATCCTCAAGTAAGTTCAACGAGCCTTAGCTCCCTGAAATTTTATGCTAAATTCAGTGGGTCTACGTGCAGGTGTGTATGTCACTGCTTTCCATAGCTTATCAAAGTGATCTGAAATCCCAAGAAGCTCATGAGAAAAAATGTCATTAAAAAATAATTGAACACTTTCTTGGTCACCTGCAGATCAACCCGGAGTCTTAGGAGATGGATCCAGGTGTGCAAGGAAGGTCCTAACTTCGCCAATGTAGCTCCCCTGAGCTAGGTTTGCACCCTCTCCCTCCTTTTATGGCGCTCCTTCAGCCTTGTTCATAAAAAAATTGTCATTTCTTAAAAAGAGAATTATTAATATAATAAAATCCTATATTAAAAAGCATTTGAGGAGTACCTGGGTGGCTAAGTTGGTTAGGCGTCTGTCTTCAGCTTAGATCATGATCTTGGGGTCCTGGGATCGAGCCCTGTGTTAGGCTCCCCACTTAGCAGGGAGTCTGTTTTTTTCTTCTCCCTCTGCCCCTTGTGCTCGCTCTCTCTCTCTCTCAAATAAATATATATATATATATATATATATATATATTTTTTTTTTTTTTTTTAAGAAAAGCATTTGAATTCCGAAGTAAAAATGCAGTTATTACCTACCCCAACCTGGGAAGGATTTATAATGCAATGCAATTAAACTACATATTTCAAAAATTTCAAAACCTCAATGAGATACCACATCACACCAGTCAGAATGGTTAAAATTAACAAGTCAGGAAATGACAGATGTTGGCGAGGCGAGGATGTGGAGAAAGGGGAACCCTCCTACAGTGTTGGTGGGAATGCAAGCTGATGCAGCCACTCTGAAAAACTGTGGAGGTTACTCAAAAAGTTGAAAATAGAGCTACCCTATGACCTAGGAATCGCACTACTGGGTATTTACCCCAAAGATACAGCTGTAGTGATCCAAAGTGGCACGTGCACTCTAATGGTTATAGCAACAATGTCCACAATAGCCAAACTATGGAAAGAACCTAGAGGTCCATCAACAGATGGATGGATAAAGAAGATGTGGTGTACACACACACACACACACACACACACACACACACACACACACACCATGGAATATTATGCAGCCATCAAAAAATGAAATCTTGCCATGTGCAATAACATGGATGGAACTAGGTGGAATTATGCTGAGCGAAATAAGTCAGAGAAAGACAAGTATCATATGATCTCACTGATATGAAGAATTTGAGAAATAAGACAGAGGGTTATAGGGAAGGGAGGGAAAGATGAGACAAGATGAAACAGAGAGGAAGACAAATCATAAGAGACTCTTAATCTCAGGAAAGAAATTGAGGGCTGCTGGGGAAGGGAGGGGGGGTAGGAGGAATGGGGTGGCTCAGTGATGGACACTGGGGAAGCTATGTGCCATGGTGAGTGCTGTGTAGTGTGTAAGACTGATGACACACAGACCTGCACCCCTGAAACAGATAATACATTATGTGTTAATTAAAAAAAAAAAAAATAGAATGCCCTGTGGAAGTCATGTGAGTTAGAATGTTTAGTTTTACCTAAGGCATCCCACTGGTGGGTGTTGTAGAATTTTTAAAGAAGAGTGAAATAGATGTAAAGGCATACATAGACTGGGCAATTCAATAAACATGTCAGTTTTCTCCAGAAAAATTAACATATTAAAAAGATACATAAAAGCAGTCAAGTCTCAGCAAAATTTTCCCCTTGGATCTAATCTGGCCCACGCCTACATATGCAGATGAAAGGATCTCACTTGCATTAGGACCTACAAGTTGAATATTACCTAAAATCAGTGTTAAAATGACGTTTCCATGCAGCAGATGGACAAAATGTAAAACATACCCACAAAATATACCAACAACCTATAAAGTAAGACAGAAAAAAATCCAGCTAATCAGCACAGCTGGGTGCTAGGACAACATCTAAAAGATCCAAGGGAGAACAGGAGGTAAAGAGCAGGTGAAGG